GCATAGAAGAACACATTCTCGTTGGTGTTGTTTTAAGTTAATTTCAAAATTCTATACCCACCGATTTCAATGTTTCCAAACATAAGTTCCGTTAAAGTTCCATTAGAAGGTATTGGGATGGGGGGAGGGGGAAAAAGAAATGTAATTCCCTGGAAAATTTCCACAGCGACAGCAGCAGACATTGCTAGCTGCATGCTGATCTTGGGGGCTTATGCTGCTGCATTGAGGAGGCGTTGGTTGCGGCATTCGTTCATTCATTACCTAAGCATAGATTTATTGTTTTGAATATTGCCAAGAACTTGAAATTTATTTTTGTTCTAGTTTCGAAAAGAACACAAACATAAATAAAATAAAATACAACAACAACAACAACAACAAAAATTAATGACGTTATAAGGTGAATTACGAGAGACTATTTTCAAATCATATGTGGCTATGATTTGGAAGATATTTTCAAATTTTCAGTTTAAATTTGACTTTTTCTTATAACGGAATTAAAATGTTTTCTATGGAAATTTGGGTGGATAACAATATTATTATGGAAACTTTTATAGAGAACAATATTTTTCATCGAATATTTTGTCGATAGTGCCAATTTAAAAAAAATAATCGATTAAAAAAATTGTCTATGAAAATATTGTTACTAATTTTCAATATAAGCTATTATCGATAACAATATTTTGTATTGAAAATATATCCGACAATTATATTTTCTATATAAATTATAACCGATAAGCATAGGTTCTATAAAAAATATTTTTCGAAAACAATAGGTTCTATAGACAATAGATTCCTTAAAAATAGTATCGATAGCAAAATTTTGTATTAAATGTGATATTCGGTTGTGGAAATTAGTGTCGACAACAATATTTTAATAGAAACTATTATCGATAACAATTTTTTTTGAAAAAAGATCGCCGATAACATTACTTTTCATGAGAAACTGTATCGATAATAATATTTTAAATTGAATGGGCCTATACCGATAACAATATTGTCTATTCTATACCTCTGTTATCGACACAGGTGTTTATCGAATATTTTTCTATAGAATAATCTACAGATAAAAATATTTGTTGAACCTAATTTTACCGATAACAATATTTGGTAAAAAATAAATTGGATAACAATATTTTCTATAGAAAATTTTATCGATAACAATATTTGCCACAGTTTTGGTATGTGCCACGTTTTGGTATAGCCGCCATATAACAGTACCTACAGATATTCGGAATTTTTATGATCTTCGCCACATTTTTTCGCGGATTTGTCTAAAAATTGGTATTTGTAGGTCATAATGGGTCCAGTGGCGAAACATTGTACAGGGTGAGATGAACAAAACTGCAACCAAATTCAGACTGCTGTCATTTCGAAGCAACTCGTCCGACAGCTGTTAAAATTATTCCAGTGACAGCTCTTTATATTGTTTACAAGCATACAAAAGAATTTTGATGAGAATTTTCCAGAAAAAAAAGTTATTCGTGATGGACCTTAAACGTGATAGAGTGATTTTTTAATAGTTGTCTGGAAAATCACAAGTGGTTATCGTTAGAGCACTCCGGCATTTAAATGAGAATAAATCTTTTGTGTCTCGTACCATCTCCCGTTAACGTGATACTAGTAGCGTAGCCCGACGTCAAGGAAGTGGACGGAAGAAAACAGAAACAGCAACATAAGCAGAAATGGTTCGAAAAGTAAGGGAGCGACTTGATCGAAACCCGCGTCGTAGTGGCCGAAAAGTGGCTCGAGAGCTGAACATATCGCAATACTCCACTCGGCAAATATTGAAAAATGAGCTCGGAGCGAAGCCATTGAAATTCCAAAAAGTGCAAGAACTTACACCGTAACTGAAAGAAAATAGACTCAAAAGAGCTAAAAAGTTTCTTCGCTTGGCCGAAAGTGGTGAACTGCCGAATTTGGTTTTCTCCGATGAGAAAACATTCGTTATCCAAACAAAATGATCGTGTTTACTTGCCAAGGAGGTCAGCTGAAAATATGCTGAAAATATGGTCAGCTGAAATTGGCCACCGGCCACCAGAACCCAAGCGCCGTCCATGGTGATGGTGTGGGCGCCCTAAAAACCGATGGTCGCTCTCCGCTCGTATTAATCTACCGTGGCATCAGAATAAATGCCGAATATTATCGAGAAGATATTCAGGAGGGTGTATTAAAGCCTTGGGCACGAAAACATTTTGGTCGAAGACCTTGGACATTCCAACAGGACTCAGCACCATCGCACGCATCACTCAGCACGCGCCAAACAAGAATGGTTACAAAATGAGGTTCCTCGCTTCATTTGCAGCGCACAATTGTCACCAAAATATCCGGAAACCAATCCGTTAGACTATTGTGTCTGGAGTATTTTGGAAAGCAAAGTTGACACTATAAAATACCAAAGTGTCGATCACCTCTAACAAGCGTATCGCCGGGAATGGGCCGAAATACCGCAGAGCAACATTCGGGCAGCGTGTGACGCTTTCATTGGCCGTTTGAAGGCCATAATTCGTGGCAAAGATGACCAAATCGAACAAATCTAAAATTTAATGCTATTTCCGACATTTTTTGCTTTCATTCAATAAATTTTTAAAAAATGTAAAAATTATGGCGTTTGACTTTGTTGCAGTTCTTTTTTATCTCACCCTGTATATAAAAAATTCTCTTCTGGGAATAAAGTATTCACTAGAATCTCCTCGTGTGGATTTCAGAAAGTTACCGTTATATAGGGGCTATACGAAGGCGTGGGCCTGCACAGACAATTTTCTGTCTTAGGCTGTAGTATCCATTTCGAACTTCAAATGTCAAATTTGAAACAATTCCGGTGAAAACTGCCGCTAAAATCATCAAGATACTGAATATCGGGAGGATTCGTTACAAGGGGGCTATACGAAGGAGTATACTTTAACAGAAAAATTTCTGTCTTAGGCTTTAGTAACCATTAGGAATTTTAAATACTAAATTTGAAACAATTCCGGTGAATAATTTTGCTAAAATCATCAAAATACCGAATATCGGGAAGAACTGTTTTAAAGGGGCTATACGAAGACTTGGTCCTGCACAGACAATTTTCTGTCATAGACTGTAGTATCCATTAGGAACTTCAAATACCAAAGTTGAAACAATTTTGGTGAATAATGTCGCTTAAGTCATCAAAATACAGAATATCGGGAGGTACGTTATATGGGGGCTATATGAAGACGTAGACTTGCACGGACAATTTTTTGTCTAAGGCTGTAGTTCCATTACGAACTTCAAACACCTAATTTGAAACAATTCCGGTGAATAATGTCGCTAAAATCACCAAAATACCGGAATAGGGAGGTACCATTATATGGGGGCTATACTAAGGCGTGGACCTACATGACCCATTTTCAATACCAAAAGTCCTGCAGAAATATTCTTTAAAAAAATATTCTTTGAAAAAATATTCTTAAAAAAATCCACGTCCTGTGGGTCCTTGAAAAAATATTCTTAAAAAAATCTACGTCCTGTGGGTCCTTGAAAAAATATTTTTTAAAAAATCCACGTGCTGTGCGCCCGTGAAAAAATATTCTTTAAAAAATCCACGTCCTGTGGGCCCTTGAAAAAATATTCTTCAAAAAATCCACGTCCTGTGGGTCCTTGTAAAAATATTCTTCAAGAAATCCACGTCCTGTGGGTACTTGAAAAAATATTCTTAAAAAAATCCACGTCCTGTGGTTCCTTGAAAAAATATTCTTCAAAAAATCCACGTCCTGTGGGCCCTTGAAAAAATATTCTTCAAAAAATCCACGTCCTATGGGTCCTTGAAAAAATATTCTTTAAAAAATCCACGTCCTATGGGCCCTTGAAAAAATATTCTTTAAAAAATCCACGTCCTACGGACCCTTGAAAAAATATAATATACATATACACTTCCACAGAAATCACGATACAGCCCACATTATTTGCCCCAGAGTTTCAAAATTTGGCAGAACAATTATTATTATGTCTATGTCGATCCACATTTTGGCTTAGCCCCTGATTTTCTGTATTTCGATGATTCTTGTCACATTTTCCCATGGATTTGTCCAAAAATTGGTATTTGTAGTTCGTAATGGGTTCTAGCTCGTGTGACGGAACATAGTATATATAGGTCCACGTTTTCCTATAGCGCACATATAACGATACCCACCGTTATTCGGTATTTTGATAATCCTAGTCAAATTTACCCTCGAAATTGTTTCAAATTTTGTATTTAAAAAGGTTCGGTAGATGACAACCCTTGAAGTGAAAAATTGTCTATAGACCTCACTCACTTCATGGTTTTTTGAAGGGGTAAGGTTCTAGGGGATAAAGTACTCATAGAGAACGCCTTGTGTGGATTTTAAGACAATTCCATTGAAACATTTGGCTGAAATCATCAAAATATCGAATATCGGGGGTACCGTTATATGGGGGCTATACGATATCGTGGACCGATATATCCCATCATCGAACTTGACCTGCCTGCAGAGAAAAGACAGATCTGTGGAAAATTGTTGCTTCCTATCGCAATTCGTTTTGCCTGTAGCTTGATTACAAACAACGGGCAGATTGGCGGACGGACAGGCCTAAATCGTCTTAGAATTTTACGGGTCTAAAATGATTATTTCGATGAGTTACATACGGAAAGACGAACTTAACTTACCCTGCATACTATGTATGGTGGAGGGTATAAAAATTGTATATTTTCTAGATTCTTGCAGATTTTCGAATATATTGCCACAAAACTATATTTTCTTTCAAAAACTGCCCATAGTTTCCATTGAAAATTACAAAAACAGCGTAATTTGTTCCAATATTTCGTTTGCATGAATTCTAAAAACAAACGTGTTTTATTGTTGTTGTTGCTGTTGTTATTTTTGGGTATTCTGACAGTTTGTTCATTATTTATATGCAGTGTCGTGATGTTGTTGTTGTTTTTCATTCTAAGTTTGCTGTTTGCGTTTTGCCTCTCTGTCAGTGCCACCGTCAGCACCATTCGACAAGCTTGACAAATGCATCTAATCTTGATCAATGCCAGGTGCGTTTAATGCACTGTGTGGCTGGCAACCCTGAACTCGCGTTGCCAAGTCAACAGCGTATTGTTGCACAAAGAAATGCAAATCGTCGTCGTCGTTGTCGTCGTCAGCAACCCAGAAAATACTGAAACGGCAGCTAAGACCTGGGCAGCAAACTTCAAATCATTTTTCATGAAAATTATAGGTTTTCAAAATTATGAAACGAAGGCCGAAACCGGAGCTTTGATATGAAACGCCTTTTGGCAATAGGGTGGGATATTGGTTGGCATGAGGGAGTTTTTTGTTTTGTGTATATTTTCCGAAAAACTAGTAGCAAACCTTAATACTAAAACAAGAAGTTTTAAAATCAATGATGACCTTTTAACCTGGCTTCACTTCATTCGAATGGAAGCAAAATAAATTTGAATAAATTTTTTTTTTTTGATTATAAATCCATGGGCTTTTTATGCCTTCAAAATGTAAGGTCATCTGTTGCCATACCACGTGGATTCATTTTTTGATTGAAAACCAATTTGGATTCCTTATCGAAAATGGAATGCATTATATTTTCTGCATTGGAGCACGTTTTCAAAAGAAGCCAAAAATAAAGATACACACACATCCCCTTAGGAACGCAACGGCATTTTTCTTCGAAAACTTTAATAAATTTGTCAGTTTTATGGCCTTAATGACCCAAAAGAGACACACATCTGCCATTGATTTAGGTCCTCAAGGAATTTTCATTTGGCTGATGATAGTGGTTTGGTGTCTGGTAAACTTTGAGCAATGCTATATTTCTCTATAATTGAAAAGAAAAAAAAAAACCGAAAATTATCGAATTGTATTTTTACTAAAGTTTTCAAAATAAAAAATCGATATAATTTTTATACCCTCCACCTTGGAAAGGAGGGTATATTAACTTTGTCATTCCGTTTGTAAAATCCTTAAATATTCGTCTTAGACCCCATAAAGTATATATATTCATAATCAGCATAAAATTCAAAGTCGGTTTAACGATTTCCGTCTGTCTGTCTGTCTGTCTGTCCGTCTGTCTATCTGTCCGTCTGTCTGTCTGTTGAAATCACGATACAGCCCACATTATTTGACGTAGAGCGCCAAAATTTAGCAGAGCTATTTGCGTTGTGTCTAGGATGGTTGGTATTGAAAATGAGATATATCGGTCCTCGTTCTGGTATAGTCCCCATACAACGGTACCTCCCGATATTCGGTATTTGGATGATTTATGCCACATTTTTTCACGGATTTGTCTGGAAATTGGTATTTGTAGGTCATAACGGGTCCTAGTTCGTGTGGCGAAACATTGTAATTATAGGTCCACGTTTTGGTGTAGCCCCCATATAACGGTACCTCCCGATATTCAGCATTTTAATGGTTTTTGCCACATTTCTTCTAATGTTTCTTTTACCCTGAGGTGGAGGGTATTAAAAGTTTGGCCCGGCCGAACTTAATGTTTTTTTACTTGTTTTTGTATAGAAAATCATGTTATCAGTACTATTTTTCTAAGCTTATTTATATATTTTCTATGTTGTTATAGGAAAAGGTTTGTATCGATAGCATTCTCCATAGACAAGCAATTTCCCTTAAAAAATGTTCTAATCGATGAGATTTTTGATTTTAAATACTGCAGTAGAACACATTGTTATCGGTAGTATTTTCTTTAGAAAATATTGTTATCCATAATATGTAATATAATATAAATACTGCTATCGATAAAGGATTTTTATCGATAGTATTTTCCATGGAAAATATTGCTACCAATAATATTTCTTATGAATAATATCGTTATCGATAATATTTTCTATGGAAAATATTGTCATCGATAATACTATTTTTAGATAATATTGTCATCGATAACACTTTCCTTAAAAACTATTTTCATACATAATATCTATAGAAAACTGTACTATTGATAATATTTTCTATAGATGATATTTTTATCGATTAAAGTTTCTAAAGAAAAATTGTTATCGATATTTTTTTTGTAGATAATAATATCATAATTTTTAAAGGAAATATTGTTATCGATCATATTTTTTATAGAAAATCTTGTTATCGGTCATATTTTCTATAGAAAATATTATTATCCATTTTCTATAGATTATATTTTTTATCGATTAAAGTTTCTAAAAAATTGTTATCGATATTTTTTTGTAGAAAATAATATCATATTTTTTAAAGAAAATATTGTTATCGATCATATTTTCTATAGAAAATATTATTATCCATCCTATTTTCAATAGAAAATATTGTTATCGATCATACTTTTTAAAGAAAATATTGTTATCGAACACATTTTCTATAGAAAATATTTTTATCGAACACATTTTCTATAGGAAATATTGTTATCGAACACATTTTCTATAGAAAATATTGTTATCGATCATATTTTTTTAATCAAATATTGTTATCGATAATATTTTCTATTGAAAAAATTGGTATTGGTAACATTTTCTACTGAAAATATCGTGATCTAAAATATTGAAAATATTTTCTATTAAAAATATTGTTATCGATAATATTATCAATATTTATAAAAGGGGAAAATGTTTGTTTGTTTGTTTGTAATTTATGGACTCGAAAACAGCTGCACAGATTTTCCTGAAAATATCCAGGCATATATCGCCTGAAATAACATAAATTTTGGAAATTGCACTTGGAATTGGAGACATAGTATAAGAATCGGAGGTACCTTCCAAAAATTTAGATTTTGTATGAACATATCTATTGATCGACACAGTCTCCAACTTTGAAACGAGTGACGGGAGTTGATCAGAAAATACATTTGTTAAATTATATGGAAATCGGTTCAGATTTGGATATAGCGCCCATATGCAAAGTGAGATGAAAAAACTGCAACCAACTTCAGACTGCTGTCATTTCTAAGCCACTCGCCTGACAGCTGTTAAAATTATTCCTGTGACAGATTATTAGATTGTTTACAAGCGTACAAAAGCATTTAGGTGAGAATATTCCAGAAAAAAAATATTCGTGATGGAATTCAAGCGTGATAGTGCGACTTCTTTTAATTTGGCTGGAAAACCACAAGTGGCTATCGCTAGAGCTCTCCAGCATTTAAATGTGAATAAATCTTTTGTGTCTCGTACCATCGTTTTCGTTACCGGGATACTGGTAGCGTAGCCCGACGTCAAGGAAGTGGACGGAAGAAAACAGCAACTCCAGCAAAAATGGTTCGAAAGAAGCGACTTGATCGAAACCCGCGTCGCAGTGACCGAAAAATGGCTCGTGAGCTAAACATATCGCAGTATTCCATTCGGCAAATATTGAAAAATGAGTTCGGGGTATAGCCATTAAAATTCCAAAAAGTGCAAGAACTTACACCGCAAAAGAAAGAAAATAAACTCAAAAGAGCTAAAGAGTTGCTTCGCTTGGCCGAAAGGGGTGAACTGACGAATTTGGTTTTCTCCGATGAGAAAACATTCGTTGTCCAGCAACGACAGTTTTTAAACAAACAATATGATCGTGTCTACTTGCCAAAGAGGTCAGTTGAAAATGGGCACCTTCGGTTAGCCACCAGAACTCAAGCGCCGGCAATGGTGATGGTGGTGTGGGCCGCCATAACAGCCGATGGTCGTTCTCCGCTCGTTTTAATCGACCGTGGTATCAGAATAAATGTCGGATATTATCGCGAAAATATTCTGGAGGGTGTATTAAAGCCTTGGGCATGCAAACATTTTGGCCGCAGGCCTTGAACATTCCAGCAGGCCTCAGTACATTCCAAAATCGCACTCAGCACGCACCACCCAAGAATGGTTACAAAATCAGGTTCCTCGCTTCATTTCCAGCGCACAATGGCCACCAAATTCTCCGGATACAAATCCGTTGGACTATTGTGTCTGAAGTATTTTGGAAAGCAAGGTTGGCATAAAAAAATACCAAATTGTCGATCACCTTAAGCAAGCGTATCGCCGGGAATGTGCCAAAATACCGCAGAGCAACATTCGGGCGGTGTGTGACGGTTTCATTGGCCGTTTAAAGGCCATAATTCGATCCAGTGAGCAATTCGAACAAATCTAAACTTATTCTAAAATTTGAATCTACTTCCGACATGTTTTGTTTTCATTCAATAAAATTAAAAAAATGTAAAAATTATGACGTTTGACTTTGTTGCAGCTTTTTATCTCACCCTGTATATATACTGGATCAGCGTCTGTCTGTCTGTTGTAATCACGCTATCTTTCGAACGAATTAAGATAGAAGGCTAAATTTTTGCACACATGCATAGTTTACCAGTAGGCAGGTTAGAGTTCGTGAATGGGTCATGTCGGACCACCTTTTCGTATATCCCCACATAACGGTACCTCCCGATATTCGGTATTTTCATGATTCTAGCGACATTATTTACCGGAATTATTTCAAATTTGGTATTTGAAGTTCGTAATGGATACTACAGCCTATGACAAAAATATGTGTATGCAGGTCCACGTCTTCGTATAGCCCCCATATAACGGTATCTCCCGATATTCGGTATATTCATGATTTCAGCGACATTTTTGACCGGAATGGTTTTAAATTTTGTATTGGAAGATCTTAATGGTTACTACGACCTATGGAAAAAAATTTCGTATGAAGGTCGAGGTCTTCGTATATCCCCTATATACCTCCCGATATTCGGTATTTTGATGATTTTAGCGACATTATTCACCGGAATCGTTTCAAATTTGGTACTTGAAGTTCGTAATGGATACTACAGCCTTAGACAGAAAATTTTCTGTGTCGGTTCACGTCCTCGTATAGCTCCCATATAATGGTACCTCCCCATATTCGGTATTTTGATGATTTTAGCGACATTATTCACCGGAATCGTCTCAAACTTCGGATTGGGAGATCATAATGGTTGGTACAGCCTATGACAAAAATTTTTTTATGCAGGTCGACGTCTTCTTATAGCCCGCATATAACGGTACCTCACGATACTCGGTATTTACATGATTTTAGCGACAGTATTTACCGGAATTGTTTCAAATTTGGTATTTGAAGTTCGTATTGGATAGTACAGCTTATGACAGAAAATTGTCTGTGCAGGTCCACGTCTTCGTATAGCCCCCATATAACGGTAGCTCCCGATATTCGGAATTTTGATGATTTTGGCGACATTATTCACCGGAATTTTTTCAAATTTGGTATTTGAATGTCG